GAAATGGAAATGCTGATAACTTCCTTTTTATTGCATCATTCATTGTTTTTGTTTGCAAATGACTGACCAGGAGAAGTTAATAAATAACTGGGTACTGTGAATTACATTTGACCTTTCACACTATTATTATTATGACATTGTCAGAAAAGACAGTGCGTGGTAAGAAATTACGAAACTAAATGGAAATCATAAATAATAATAATAATCAATACTTCCGACCCTAATATGCGGACAAAATTCGTTTTCGTTCGTAAAATGGGTTACGAACCGATGAAGTGTGCGGCAAGCTTAATATTGTCTGCCAGACACTATTTGGTGGATATTTTTATACCGAAATAATTAAGTGAATTGATGTTCAAAATTTTAAAATACAACACTAACACCTTTAAAACAATTTAATAATAATTGAAGACACGAGTTGATTAGACAGTTGATAAAGTTATAAATAATAATAATTAAGTATTTGCATTTTTATTTAAGGGACTGGCTTTTATTTATAAAAAACTCCTTTTAAACTTTCCCTGTTTAGTCATAGTCTGGAATGAATCATTAAAAACACCAATTGTGATAGTAAGACAGTTAAGATTTTTGAAATTTGTCATATTAAATATATATAAACTATCTTTATGACAAGATAGTTTATATATATTTAATATGACAAATTTCAAAAATCTTAACTGTCTTACTATCACAATTGGTGTTTTTAATGATGCATCAATTGCCACCGTCTATCCGAGGACAACAAAACAAATTGAAGACTATTGTTAAATATAGGCATTTTTCTATTTTCTTTTATAAATTATCAAAATGCATTTCGACTTTATCAAGTTTAAGCCCTCTTCAATAAACAAGTTTATAGCAATAGTCTTACAGACACATCTCCTCTCTGACATTAAGAAATTGGATAGATATTAATGTCGGAGAGATATTGTGTCTGTAAGGCTATTGCTATAAACTTGTTAATTTATAAAAGAATATTGTTAAATACCCGTATAGGCATTTTTTATTTGTCTTTTAAGGACAATAATTAGTTTACAGGATGGCTAATAGATATTTTAAAATTAGTTTACGTATACTGTATATATATATTTAATATTAAATGTATGTAAATATAAGGCAACTTTATTATTTTAACATTTTTAAGTTAGTATATCTCTAGTTCTTCATTGCAAATAATTTTAACAAATTAAAAAGTTTGTGCACACGGTGGAATGTAAAATTACACAAGCAAAATCTTATATAATTTACGGTTTCGGTGGTATATTCAAAATCGCTTATAAATTAATTAATGTAATTCTATTAATTTCTCTTAACGAATTATTATCGTAGATTCCAAAATTTATAAAACATCTTTCAAATTCAGTTTTCTAATATTAATTTAATTAAATTTAACGTTTAAAACTTTTGTTTATTTTTTAACACATGTGGAAACTTTGTACCCTTGAACCAAATCCAAGTTTACATAATTTGTACTGATAAAACTGCTTAAATTTTTTATTCTAATACTATGTTGAAATCAAAATGTTTAAAAGTTAAAAGGCTATACAATCCTACCTATTAATTAAGACACTACAATAATTAACACCTTTCACGGTTGCGATCCTACAATTTTTTGGCTAAACATTAAATAAAATTTAAAATGTGTGTGTTACATATTTTAAGTACACGTAGAGTAGTAGATTATAACATCTGCCATGGGAATACACGTTCGATTCCTAAATTATTTGAGGAAAAATAGTTGCAAGATGAATCTTCAAATTATTAATTCAGCAAAGTCAAAGTATTGGAAACAATACGGTTAAATAAAATTTGCAATTATACATTACAGGTTATCATTTTATCAAAGACTATTATCCGATATACAGTCGATTCCAAAATAAATAGCGTAAATCTAGGGGGAGAAGGGGGCCGTGTCTTCTTTCGAGGACGAATGACGAAAATCGCGTCTTCGTTGATGACGTCACAATTCTACTAGGTTGATTATACCTTACGTCTATGCGCGTAACACGGCCAATGAAATTGTAAAATTTTCGAGAAGACACAGTACGTAATTATAGATCACGTGGCGAGGAAAGCACGTAATTTTGTTTATAACGGTTTTACAGACCGTCTCTTAACAAATAAAAATTTTAATAACCTAAGTTAGATATTTTTCGAAATATTAAATACGCACACTTTTCTAACATTGACATCATATTCGACAGTTCGGTAATTGACGTAGGATAATTAAAAAAAATGGAATAATCCCTGGAAAAAAATCTGAAGCATTTTCTCCGAGGGGAATATTCTTTCCCGAGATAGAGAACGTTCTCTAATACGAATGTAGCATCCAGTTACAAGGAAATCCAGGCAAAAGAGAAAAGACAATTGAGAAACGAGAGAAAAAGTTGTCCCGAATCGCGTTTGGAGAGAGTCGATGATCTCTCCATACGTAAACAAATGATCAGCCAATCGGCGACCGGCTTACGAGAGACGATAACCGAAATACGGCCCGTGGTCCTGACCCAACGGTCCCTTTCATCCATTAAAACAGGGAGAAGGGACAATGTTTCTTCTTACCAATGTGGAAAGCATTAAATGTAAAGTGTGAGGTTCGTAGAAAACTTTTTCTAAGAATATTTTCAAGTCTTTCTCACCCAAGAGACGAGTCTTTTGCTCGAGTTAACTATTATTAAACTATTTTAACTGAACAATAAAAAATTTCGATATATGTCGGTATTATACCATATTTAATTTATAAATTACGCTAAGAAAAATATATTTTACTTTTCGTTCATTTATTGTATACAGGGTAAAAATTTATGCCGTATTGCATAGAGGAGAAAGCTCACTTTAGTCTGTTATATTTGTTTATAAAAACGACTAGTACGAAGAGTACACGATTTCTATTTTATTTTTTATCGCCATATATTAATATTGGATAAGAATGCTACAAGCAGCACAATTATTTATAACTCTAGTTGTATGTTATAAAAATGAACGATAAATTGGATAATTTCTAATAATAAAAATACTTTTGTTTAGTTTTAAAATAATATATCAAGATTTAACTGAAATTCAAAGTTATCATCCATACGAATAACGAATAAATAACGTAAAGCAACGACTGATATTTATGAACGTAACTATTAAATAGATAAATGCTTGAATTACTAATAACCACTCGAGTCCATAAAATATAGGCCATTAATAGTACGGTTATCTCCGGCGGGATGATTATAATTAAACCCACCCTACTCGGAGACGTATTTGGTATACACGGTACAGTACGCTATTCGCATGGTGACGATTAATTTCTGGCAAAGAAAAATTTAATTTTTCGCCACTAGGCAGAACGTGGGTTTTATTCTCGAAAGCAAAACGTTACTTTACACCGTGTGTTCGATATGCCTCGATTACTTGTTGGAAGTGTAGTACGATGCCATCGATTCAGTGTAAACTAAGTAAATTATTTTTAAAGTACAGTAAATACGTCAATTAGCGCTCTATATTTTTAATTCTGCTCCGCTGCACTGCCATTGATATTTTCAGGAAGTCAGACAAATGAGATTTTTTTCTAGTTCTCGGCTGCATTCTGTTGTTTATAGAGAATCTTCGAACTTAAACGGCAACGTTGATCACATATATTAATTAAAGATATTCAGTTACGTGCTTGGCAACTGTTAGCATGGAGAGGAATTCGGATAAGATATTTGCACCCAACGAGTGATTGTGATTTCTCTTTTTAAATCGCGGAGTTATCAAAATTTGATCCTGTTACGAGTGATTATTTAATGCCAGGATTCTCGGACGACCTTCTTATCTAAGTAAATAAGGTTCATTTCGTATATACGGTATTTGCCTAATAGGACAAAAACCGTTGTTGTTAATGATTTTCAATATTACAGAATAATTTTAATCCGTACTCCGGATATGAACAGAATCGAGTGAATGTCTAATTACAGTATTCTGAATAATTACCGAAAGAATATTTTAGCAAGCTTTTGTCCGTGAAATTAACTACTGAATTAATACTGCAAGAAATGGAATCATTAGGCTTAAAAATTGCAAGAAGAGTTTATCTTTTTCCAGTTCCTCTAACAGATTGTGTTTTTAAAACACTTGACATTCTTAGCCTGAAAAGATGGGAAAGTCTCATAGATACAATTAGACAAATAAAATGAATTGTAGAATATGATGCCTCAATAGAAACTTATTCAGACCAACAGAGAGATAGCGATATTAAAATCAAAAGTAAATCACTAGCGTTTAAAATATCTAAAATTAAAGTTTTGTGCATTTGGTACCAAGTGTTATTTAAAATTATTAAAAAGCTCAAATACAGTATGGGAATGGGAATGCATCAGGATTTTAGAACGCCTTATTCATTTTTAGGGGAATTGTAGCAAATGCTCTGTTATGCCAAAGAAATCGTTATTGCCGTGGAAATTTCTAGCTCGAACTTTGCATCAGAATTGGGCGTAAAAATAAACAATACGATTACGAGGAAGACGATATAACAATTGTTGACCCCTCCAAAAACTTTCGAGTAAGATTTTGAATTATTTAGTGGATATTTCTATAAATTCAAAGGAGGAAACATTTTTCCAAATGCGAAATTACTTAGTAGAATATCATATAAAATCTCAATGTTAGCCGATAAAGATTCTGAAGTTATTTTTACAAAGTTGGGGATTGACGGTCGATAAGAATTCTGATATAGAACCATTCAATTTATTCAATCAACTTTTAATTGTTAGTGGTGACATTTTAAAGATATTTCTAAATTAACAGCTTTAAATTATTTTTGTCCGTATAATGTCATTTATGTGAGCATAGAATTGCTATATCAGACTTATCATACGGGAAAAAAGGCACTGGGGGAAAACAAAATGTTATTCCGAAATATTTTTTAAATTTTCTTCGTTTTAAATATCGGGTAATGATTATATCAAAGCACTATACCATTTTAATTATAAAATGTTATACCGTAATGTTATTCTAAATATATAAATCTGTAAAAATAAATCTGTAAAAATAGCGTAATTAAGCCCATATTTTGTACTACCAGATATGCTGTAAACAGAACTGAAGAGGGATATAATACCCGAAATGCATTTTCTGTTTAAATAAAGCCTATTTTATCCCAGTGCCTTTTTTCTGTATGATTAGTCGGATATAGCAATTTTATGCTCGCATACATAAAAGACAATTGAAAATTTTCCAATGTTTTTATATTATTGAGAATCTTTTAAATCGTTCTCCGCTAACAATGGACACTGGAAGGATCTTTCTCAAAATTAAAATAGATTAAAAATTATTTACGTTCAACAATGGCGCAGGAAATTTGACATAACAAGCTACAAGTATGTTATCGGCTGAATAGAAAATTTCGACTATATTAGAAGTAGATTTACATGATTTAATATATTCTTTAACATTACATTTATTACGTATTTGTATTTATGTGAGAATAGTTTTCGGTAATAAATAATTGCGCATAAAATATTACGAAACTTATATCTATTGTCACCTACCTATAAAAAAGTGTTATCGTCTTTCCTCTGCCCTTACCTTACCAGCAATTGCGAACAACGGCGGCATAAGCTTCGTTTTGGCACACTGGCCCTGGATCGATTGTCGTACGAATTATTTTGGTGCCACGCTGCATTACGCTGGCCTTCAGCTGTAATATAAAAAGCAGAGATGTAATAGTTCTGACACGAAATAATAAATTCTTAAAAAATCATTAGGATAGGAATCATCCATCATTCCACCGAATAATAGTTTAAAGTCACTGGGAAAAAAATGTTACAGTTTCATGCTTGCGACTGGCGAAACTTCAAATGCTGATAACTTCTGATAAGTACATCTTTCGAAAAAATTTGTATACAAACATACATGGTATCACATGGTAGCAACTCGGGATATCTTCAATTAGAATCGAATTATGACTACAAAAAGTATAGAATTTTCGACTCTATCTTTTATCCCTTTCACACTACCGCAGAAGTAACGGTATATTGGCTTTCGATCAATTTTAACTTTGTGCGAAAATTTATTTTATAATTTATCTAATGAAGTTCATTCAAGCCACTATACTGTTACTTCTGTGGTAGTGTGAAAGGGATAAAAGATAGACTCGAAAATTGTATAATTTTTGTAAATAGTCATAATTCGTGTTTGATGTAGAATCATAATAGGCAATAAAAATAGGGGTTTACATTTAAGAAAATGAAGTTGACTGTTTTAGCCGATTGAAGCGCCATATTTGATGAAACCGATAGTGCCTTCTCGTCTCCTCCTCGATGCAGAACATTTTCTTTTTTGTACGATACATATTTTTCGAGATGTTTTGGGTGATTAATTAAAATGGAACACCCTGTATAACAAGTTCCATCGACGTACAATACGTTCATTGGAACCTGTCCCAGAAAGCTCTGAATATGGTCTGTTTTATTACAACCATCTTATACTAGCAGAACATTGTATTCTTTGTTACAAAACAATTGAAAAGCAAAAATTTAATCTAAATTAAGTTGAACTAGAAACTTTACGTGAAAGTACTGAGCGTGTCTTAAAGTTTTTTTGCTCAGAAAATGATTAATACGATGAGTGTTTGCCTCTTACACACACTCACGCTGCACAGTATAGTAAATATGATATAAAAAATTAAATATTTATTTTATCATATAACTATTATCTTTATCATTTAATACGTATAATTATATTAGTTATCAGACAGACTAAAATTAAGAAAATATCAACTGTTCCAAATACTATTAAAAACTAATTTTTGTCTATAGCCAATTAATTGCCTCTCCAAAACAAAAGGACGAAAGTACAAATTTTCCCTCAAAAACAAATGATTTCAAATTAAACAGAAAAACGTATATCAATTTACAAACATGTTTAAAATACTAAGAGCAAAAATTATATACACATAACGTTTATTTAATGACTTTTACATATTATTTATATTTGAGTTTTAAAGTCATTAAATAAATCAAACGGAAGCAATAAATTCGTCATCTAAGCAATAATCGAGGACAAAATAACAAGTAAGGAAACGACAGCCAATTTCAATCCTCAACTATTTAATCATTGATCAGACTACCAGAAGGTCGTTGTGCTAAAGACGTCAACTCAACATTCTCAGAGATCAGAGTTCGAATCCAGGTCAAAAAACCTGACCCGGATATATATGGGCTCGATCATCCGTATTCTGGGCCTGGCCAACCCATAATAAGCGTGATTATATAAATTCCCTCTTAGTGCCTTTAAGGCTCAGAGTAAAAAAGTAATCGTCTATTGAAACATTTTAATTTATAATTGTTGTTTCTTGTAAGAGCAATATTTAATGAATCGAAATAATAACAATCCTCGGTTAATGTGACCAGTGCCGGATTAACCAGTAGACAAATAAGACAAATGTCTATGGCCCGGCTTCAGTACAGAATCTTTCTGTTTAAAACAACTTAAAAATTGTTTAAGAAATTCAATAGGGCAGGAAAGGCTAAGGTCGTCATCAATGCTTGCTATAAAAAAAGATACTCTCGAACGGTTAGATTGCGAAAATATTAATGTTTTAAAGGCTAATTAATGACTATAATTACATATTTCGTTATACCAGAAACTAGCAGGTGGACCCGGCGTTGCTCGGGCAAAAGTAACGATAGCGAAGATTAAAATTATTACGTTATAGTCAACCCCGTTTCCGGACTAATTAGAGAATTTTTAGACGAGTCTAAAAATATGTTCGATTTCCCCCCAAAACGAAAAAAACTGCATCTGCGTCTTGCACGTCGCTTTCTCTTAACAATTCCATTGTTACTTGACACTTTCATTGTTGATGGAAGTGTCCCTCTGCCCCGTGGGAAAGAATTTTGAAAAATCCCTTCTTAGTGTGCATTTTCGTGACCTACCCTAACTGTGTACCAAATTTCAACTTTCAACTCCTAACCGTTTGGGCTCTGCGCTTATTATTATTATCATCATCATTTCGTCTCGATTATATATATAGATTATTATTGTATTGGTGTTTGTATTCTCTATTATTAATAAAAATTTTAAGTGACGTTATTTAAGATTTCTTTAGAAGCAACTTATTTAAATGGCGCCCTAATTTAAATTTGTTCAGGCCCCTCTAGAGGCTTAATCCGGCACTGAATGTGACTTATTAATTACGAGCAATTTTAGTAGGGTCTATCATAGGGATGGCCAACACGTAGACCGCGGTCGACCGCAAAGGTTTTGAAAGTAGCCCGCGAAGCTAAAGTTGAACAATTTGCTTTCACTTAAATTAACGTTTAAAAATCTTAATTCGATAATTTATTCTTACAATAATAGACTGTCTGTGCAACGTACCCATACTGTATGTATTTATCCCGATGAACAATGCAAATGAATGTTAACGCACGCTCATATAAAAATCCTAAAATTGTTTGCCCATATTCATAGTCGCCCGCAGACTATATTTTACCAAAAAAGTAGCCCCTAAGAGATAAAAGTTTGACCACACCTGGTCTATCATATGCTAATTTTTTCGGTATATTGTGGTCCGAAGAAAGCCACCTAGTAGATGTTGCGTGGAGAGTATTCTGATCTACCCTAGTACTAGAGTCACTTCCAGCCTGGAATTAGTTGTCGTACAGTTTATTTGAAGACTCCGATCTTTGAAATATCTATTATTGACTGATCTAAATCTTTCATTTTCACCATCGCGAGTGGCAAACGCGTAAAGAAACGATTTAGCACATAGATGAAACGTTTCCGGGTAGCAGCAAATGTTCTACAATATAAACTGTTGAAGAATCTCAAATGCTTCCTTTGTAATCGGAAACGCATCGTCAAATTATTCCACACGTCCTTATACAATAAAATGTAGATTTTCACTTACCGCCCTAATTTAAAGCAACTACCACGTTGACTTTAATGAAAATCTTAATTCATTAGCTTATGATCTTGCCATTCTAGTGAAATATACTCTTAGAATTAATCGTTTTATCAAAGTATAATGTGATTAAGAATCTTGATTCATAAAAAGTAGTGTTTCTCAAACGGGATTCCGGTTGTTTTTTTAACCCGGGAAATCCCGCAAATTTCTTAAAAATTCACTTTTTTTCTTATTTTGTGTTAAGGTTAAGAAATTTTGCAAATAAAAAGCATAATTAACTCATTCACTGTCAGAATACATTTGTATTTATTAATTTTAAACCTGCCTATTAGTTTTTTTTTTAAATTTTTGCTGGTTATGGCATGTCACAAATGGTCGATAATCAAAAGTAGCTTATTTGTGCCAGGGCTCTGAAAATTCTTTACTTGTCAGAACTTGTAATATATGGAATAATTGCGCTTACGCCGTCTTAATTTTTAACCACGCCCGGTAGCTTCGATAAATGCGTAACGCCAGATTGCGCAAATTGGGCAAAGATACAAACGAGTATAAAGTCTGCGAGTATGAAGTTTTTCTTCGTAAACCCGATTATTAAAGCCAAACGAATTGCCGAATTATCGAGCTCTAAGCTCGATGCCGCTATTAAAGCGGCCGAGGTAGACAAATCAAAAATACTAGAGAGCGAAAGAAGTACTACAATCTCGAAAACAAACTCGAAATCTTCCGGGCTACGGGTGAAAAAACACATAATATCTGTCTTCTCTTAAATGCATTAAACACGATTCCAATCACATCAATTGAATCGGAAAGGGCATTCTCGGTAGCGAGACTTTTCGTTACTAAAATAAGAATTAGAGTGAGTGATCGGAGTATCGATCATCTTTGCTTTTTAAAATCTTATAAAAGTTTGCAATATTTTGTATTATATTTTATTTAAAAAACGAAAATTACCTTCTAAGTTAGAAGTTTGATCTAAATTCAATTTTTAATTTTTAACTCGATTCAAAGCATTTTTGTTGTTGTTGTATGCAGTTTCTAGCACAATTTAATAAATTTTTCTCTATTCGTGAAAATTTCTACGTAATTCGAAGGTAATTTTTATTATATATCTTACACAGCATTATTAATATGATTTTGGATGATACAGAACTTTAAAATTACTTAAAAAATGAAAAATAATTATCTTCTAAGTTAGAAGTTTGATCTAAATTCAATTTTTAATTTTTAACTCGATTCAAAGCATTTTTGTTGTTGTTGTATGCAGTTTCTAGCACAATTTAATAAATTTTTCTCTATTCGTGAAAATTTCTACGTAATTCGAAGGTAATTTTTATTATATATCTTACACAGCATTATTAATATGATTTTGGATGATACAGAACTTTAAAATTACTTAAAAAATGAAAAATAATTATATCATTTAATTTCGAGATATCTCGAAATTAATATTGATTCGTAAAATAATTGATTCTATCCCGGGAAACAGTTCACTTTTATCGCGGAATCCCGGGACAAGCAATGAGAAAGCCTAATAAAAAGTGATCAATCGAACAGAACACTTTTACCTGATAGGCGAAACCCAAGAAGTCGATTTTATAACTTACAGTCCAGAAAATATTTTATCTTATGGCCTTTTAATAAAATGACTGCAGTGTAATAAAATGTAAATAAAATTCGAGACTATAAATTGTCAGGATTAACTATAAACGAATGATTCATTTCAATTTTTTTAAATTGTTTTCAATACAGTTGTAACTAACTATTTTCATATAAGAAATGCCACGAGCGCGACCAAATAAAAAACAGGCATGAAATGACAATTTTATAAAGCTCGAAGTTAATAAAACATCAATTTATAAATTTCATCACAAATATTACGTTTACATGTGTTACAACGCTTAAAAGGATTATTAAATCGAACAACTGACAAAACTTATTTGTCTAAGTGTTACAGATAAAACAATTTTGCTTGTAATTAATTGTTAAATTAATTATACAATTCTTCAATATTAAGTAAACTAACGAAGCGGTCGGTTTTACGTAAAATAGCTTACGTCATCGGTTTACTTAAGTAACGGCTTGTCACCTCGCGTCCATTTAATGTTATTAGGTTTTAATCTAAATTAAAAATTGTATAGTAATGCTAAGATTGAATAATTGATATCATCACATTCGATTAAGCTCAGATATTGCGAGAACACTAAATCTAAAAACATGTTTTTCATTCGGCAAAAGTAAAAATATTACAATATATAATAATTATTATAAGTAATGATAATCACGGAAATGCAGTAAATACACTTCAGAAAATTACTGTACTACTGTAATTGAATCAGTAGTAATAGGAAAAATGATTATTTGTTGGAAAAGCTACTTTTTTACATACTTAAAGAATGATTAGAATTGACTTAATAATGAGTCATAAAATACACAAAAAGCGACAAAAGGAAGAAATAAAAACGTGCTATTAAATGTAAATTTTTATAATTTTTCTCTTTTAATAAAACGTTAGGACTCGGCCCTCCTTTTCTGCCGAAGCTCCCGATTGATCAAATTGTGTTCGTTACTGTTCGTGTGTTAATGCTGTTCTTTATTTGGATCGTTATTTAAAATTATAAGAAAAGCGCAAGTTTTAAAACTATGCTTAAAAATGCCCAAATTGTGCGAAATGAAAGGTAACGGGATGAGACTAACTTGTGATTCCACTAGCAATTTTGCCAAATCTCAACTTCGTACATAGGTCAATTTCTCTCAAATTTTCTGAAATGATACGCAAATTCTTATTAAAATAAATTTATAAGATAACAGCGCATTTAAAATGGACTATTTATCATTTTTATACTACATTTTAACGAAAAAAGGAATAATAAATTCCTTATTGTACATATTAGGCTGGCAGTGACTGCATTGTAATATATCATTCCGCATTATGTGAATTCTCTGGTGCATATTATAAAATGCAGTATAGCGAATCCCGCACTAAATGATATCGCACTGAGAAAGGTATTCCTGTATATGCGATTTCACATACTTCTTTTATTAAAATTCAATAAAATTTTGTATTGGTAAGTAGTTACTCTATTAAATTAACTGCGGCCATCCAGCCATGTCGTAAATGCTATCGAACCTACGTTTGATACGAAAAACAATTAAAACCAAATATTTTCAGTTTAGAATTCGCAACAAAATATTTTTACACGAATAAATGTAAACAATACACGTTAACGTACTAACGGAGAGTCGGTTGGCCGAGCGACCTAGGAGACGGCATACCGTTGTGGAGAAGCGGAATCGATTCCGGACTGACTAAGTCGAAAAACCTCAGGAAATTTTTCACGGATACGCCTGGGCCCATCCTTCACCACCCGGCCGTCTGGCCGAATCCACCATGGACATAGAAAATAAAAGTTCCTCTTAGTGGACACAGAGTGGAGAGTCCAAAGCGAAAAAGTGACCATCGTTTCCATCTATTAGTCCGTTGTGCTATATACAAGAACGACGGTATTTAAAATATATTTTATCGTGTATTTTCATTCCAACTCATTTAATTTCATTTTTATGTATAAAGTTATTTTACCAATTAATAATATCGTACATTTTAAAGTGTAAGTCGTAACATAATAGCATCCCGTGAACCATTTGTTACTGTAATTCACAAATGCTTTAGTCATCGACCAATGCGCAATTCCACGTACAAAAATGCATATAAAAAATAGATGCTAACTTATATAGCTTAAATCAATTTTCTGCAAAGTCGATGTTTTTAAACTTGTAAAAAAAACTCTAAGCACTTTATGGTAACAGAACAGAACAAATGCAAGCTTAAATGACTTAATGTCATAATATAGAATTTTTTTAAATTGTTATTTTTTACATTTTTAAAAATAAATTTCTTCTTTAATTTTCTTGAATTTTTAAAAATTAAATTTTAAAATAATATACGCAACCAAAGCGCATCGATATTGATTGTGACCCTGTGGGAATAATCAACTATTTAAATTTATTTACGACTAGGCTAATTACAATCGTAAGACGAAAAATAAATGATTCGCTATAAAATATTTGAATTTAGAAATAAAAAGAAAAACATTTTTACGGATTAATATATCCGTAAAAATGTTTACCTAAAAATGTAACAATTTTTAAAAAATCTGAAGCATTTTTATTACTGTTGATCTTTTAAAATAGTTATTTTAAATTTACAAATACTGTATTATAATTTTATATAAAACTTACTTTAGTAGTTTTTGAGAAAATGACAAAGAATTTTATAAAAATAATTTCCCATGTGTTCAATTTCTTCATGTTGATTTCATGCCATTTTTAAATTGCTCGTCATTTTTTTATTCTTGACCCTAAAAAAATTATGCTTACGTTAAAACTTTAATCAGTTTTTAGTATCGTCCAGAAAATAGTGGGATGACAATATTAAAAAAATAATAATAATAACTATCAGGGCCGGATTAACCCACTTTGGGGCCCTAGACATTTTCATCTTGCCGGGCCTCCTCTCTCTCCCACAAGAAATAGAGTACACAAAACATATAAAACAATAAATAAAACAAAACTAAATAATATGAAAAACTAAAACATATCTTAAATTTTTATTAATAAAAAATATTTAATATACAACAGTAAATTTTAGTTTTTCAAAATACAGTTTGACCAGGCCCTTCTAAAAACCGGGCCCTAGACATTTGCCTCATTTGTCTATGCGATGATCCGGCCCTGATAATTATAATACATTAAGGTTATATGGTTATATCGAGATTTATATTATATAGAAGAAAACTATTGATCGCATTTATTATACCGATTGAGACCATAAAATTACATTGGAGGACAAATTGCAAAATGATGTTCTCAGTGCGTTATAACGTGGAATTTTCTGTCATTCAATACGAGGCCTACATATAGTCTTAAATTGTTGGCTAAAACTGTCGAATAAAAATATTTTATTGAAATTTCAAACAAGATATCTGTTTGAAATTTCGTATAAACGATAAAATTCGGATAACTTTTTTCATACGATACTCTGACATCCGAATCTCTTATATACAATAGGCGGGCGCAAATCGGATTTAAAAAAAAATATATTATGTCCTTTATTATAACACGCATTTTGTAACATATATTTACTATAACATATTATATATTTATTATAAAAGCCGAATTAATGCGATGTTTGACACTGCATTTCGTTCGCTAATTTCTCACAGTTGGGAGTGTAACACGATAATCCCAATCGCAAACAATCTTCAATGTTGATTTAGTAAGTTGAGATCTGATTTTTGATTTTATAATATTCGTGGGGGAAATAAAGATTCGCGTAAATATATGGAACCAAAACAGAATTTGATTTTGAAGGTTCCTTTTTTCAAAAGATTATACTTTTTATGATCAACTAAATTCCAAAAGTTGTCATCCGTGTGGTGAAATTTCAATATGACGTCATTTTGAAAATCTAACATCGCTTCTTCAATTATTGATGCTTCTTCTTAAAGAAGTTCTGCTATAGATTTAGCAGTTTCGGATTTACAAAAATTGTAGTCATGGGTTCGATAATGGCAAATTTCTGGAATTTACTTTCAAACTGTTCCAAAAGGTTTTTAAGACCAGTAATAAATAATGTTAGGCCAAAATTATTTTCACCGGTCACTTTTTTTCATCCTTGCAAAGTGTACGAGAATTTTTCGACAAATTATTTATCCAAAACTGTATTTTGGCTTTGAATGCTTTTATAGAGCTAATCATTTCAGCTAACGTTAATTTTTTTCCTGGAGATCCAGGTTTAAACTGCTCAATTTTTCACATATGTCAATTTAAAAAGCCAAGGCCATCAACCATTATAGGTTATCTAAAGTTCAAACGTTTGACCTTTTGAAATAAGGAATTTTCTCTCTCCCAAAAGATAAAAAAGTCGGCCGAGTGCTTCGTCTTTATTTAACCAAGGTCAGCTTGGGAAGATTCGTTCTTTTCCACAAGGGCTTTAAACAATCTGTGAGATCAAATAATTAACAAAATTCGAGCAAATCCTTTAACAACAACATTCATAACGTGTTCAAAGGATAACATTTTGGCACATAATGATTCTTGATGTATAATACAGTGATAATACATAAAGTTCGGAAAGGATTCATCTTTCTCGCAATGGGAAATGAATCCATTATTGCGGCCCACCATCAGTAATTATTGCTGATAACTTGTGTAAAAGCATATTAATTTCTGCCGAGTAATTTTTAAGATATTATAAATATCTTAACCCCTTAATAAAATAAAAATTGCATTACAAATACTTGTCGTATCCTGCTTGCTCGCAAGTCCAATCACCTGGAACATCCGGCAAGCGAGATACCACTAGTATTTGTAATGCAATTTTTATTTTATTAAATTGTAATTCCGCCAGCCCTTTTTTGCAAATCTTTACCCCTTGTTCGATCTTGCATTGATGTTAACTTTAATAGTTCTTTCATACTAAAATCACCGAATACCATTCTTATCATTACTGCCAATTGCGATATCCCCTGAATTCTTCTTCTACTTGTATTGTTTGATAACGGCAATTCTTATATTGCCGAAATAATTTCTCGTTTATTAGAAAATCCTTCAAATAACGAATCGGCTCCAACGAGAGATGCTTCCTTAAGTACCAATAGTTCACTTTCTAAAAATGGTATTTTTTGTTTTGGCAACAAATGAGACATTTTAAAGGAAGCGATATTTTATTTTTATTTACATGGCTGGTAAAAATACTTGCTGGGTAGATAGATAATCCCGATTTTAGTTAATTAAATTTTCTTTTTCTTGACTCGGATTTAGACGGATAACTAACCTCTAAGAACTCCGATTGGTTTTGTAATGACGTTTTTTTTTTTCCACCGACACAAAAGGTAGTCTTCTTCCCCATCTTTGTTAAAATGATATATTCGTTGTTTTTTACTGGGATTACTGATCTTGAGGTAAAATGTTTATATACAGAAAAACACAACACAACGATAGCGCGTGATGACAACGGTACGAGTTTACAACTAATACAATATAGATCCGTGGAGACACGATTATAATAGGCGTGATAAATTACAGTGGTCAGTGTAGCCCAATTTAGCGAATTTCTCACTACATCTAGCAAGATTTTAAAACTGGGCAACTTTTTATTTTATTTTTAACATTTAATTTTTTTTTTTCATTATTTCAAAACTTTGCCGCGGGCACAAGGTTGGGTACCCCTGCAATAGGCTATGTCGCGTGTATATGCGACATAGCCTATTGCGTGTACTGTATATGAGACAAAATAGTAAATAGTAACAACTAATTTATATTAATTGTTAAAAAAATCTATATTTTAATATTGAAACATGTCATAACTATTACGATAACAAAAATTAATCTCTTATTTATTTAGACTGGTTAAATTAACGATTACGATGTTACTTTGAACTCTTCATTGTTGCCACCTATTATAAGATTAAAAAAAACTGCAGTATATATATTTATATATTTTAATTAAAATTTCTACACAATTATTCGATATTAAGCCAGCAAATTTTCTTAATAAACCTGAAGATAGCTCACCGTTTTAAAGGGATGTTGACATTTCCTGTTATGGCATGTGATTAACCAGCACGTGACAATTCATATGATTGTGACGTAGGTCGGACGGGCTATATATTGAAACGTTATCAATTTCTCAGTATTACATGCTTTAGTGCGGCGATCTGCGTAATTGGGTGGGAGAGGATCTCCGATTTTATATTTTAATATACTTTTATAGAAGCTAAGATCAATTATATTAAATAAAAGGTAAAATTTATGCATGACTTATTTGTTAGGATTTTAATTATTTCATTTATTTTCGTTACTGTCAATTTAAATTAATTGTGAAGGCTCATTTAAATCAATTAATTTTAATGAAACTAATTATTCACGTTTATTACCGAAAGTTTTGTTCCTCGGACGAGAAATTCTTTTTAAATTAAAGAAATAAGATTTTATTGATTTAAAATTAGTTTAATATAATATAGTTTTATGATGCCGTTTTTTGAAAAGTGCGACTAAAATTTTTTTGAATTTTTCCATCATTTCTTCATGTTATCAGAGCAAATTTTCACTTATTCTAAAATGAAAATGGAAAATTCGAAAATTTAATTTTCAAGAAATTCTCTTTTTAATTTTTCCCCGAATTTTCATTACTCTTAATTTTTCCAAAGAGGGATTTTTCATGCTGTTAATAAATTTCGAATGCTTATATTACCATATAATCCAAGCATTCAAAATTAACAGACTATGTAGACTGAAAAGCTTCAGATTTCCTGTCATTCTGCTACTTAAGCAAGTTCGTTAATAAACAAAAAAAAAAAAAACATTTTGCAAAAGACTGATAAACAAGTACTTATAAAAAAATTACTTTTAGAAATAATCTAGGAAATTGTGATCATCAGTTATTATAAATACGATATAACTTTTTAAAATGTAATTTCAACATAAAATCTTTTCCAATTAGTCATCTCTAACAGAAATCTGAGTTTCTTTATAGAAAAAATATATGAAGCAATATATAAATTTGTTTATCCTTTTGTTGATTTAGTTTGATTTTAATAAATTAATTTTTCCTGTGTTATTTTAAACTGTAGGATCATTATATTTCAGATACTGTATATCTAAAATATTCAATGATACTGAATTATCATTGTATAAAATAAACAATATTAATAAAATAGGTTGCTAATTCCAAACAAAATTGGGAAAAATATTAGTTTTTCAAATATGAATTTTATAATGCATTAAAATGCTAAGTTTTAACTTAGATCTATGTATCTTTTAGATTTATCAGTAAAAAATGAAATTGTTCTTTTAGCTTATTTATTTATATTTGTATTTTATCATTATTATTATACAGTATTTAGTGGGTTATACTTGGTTGATACCGGTGGCTGTACTATGCTGGGCCAGAGTCGAGGCATTGGAACCAAAAACTAAAATAAGTGTGTCGGTGTCTGTATTCGGGAATTTCCTAACAATGTGGCATGTATTCAATATAGTGGCCTTCTATAGTGTGATGTATGTATTTCTATTCAATTGTAATGTTCTCAGGCTTTTGTGTGGTGTGTGTGGTATGATACCTGTACGGGAGTGAACGACAGGTACAATAAGCACCCTTTCCATCCGCCACAGATGCCTTATTTCCTGGGCGAGTTCTGTGTACTTAATACATTCACTGAAAAAATTAGCTTGTATGGATATGATTATATTGTATGTGATTTTATTGTGTTTGTCAATGAGTGTGATGTCTGGTCTGTTGTGGTAAATTGTTTTATTTGTGATTATTATTATTTACATCAAAAACTGCTCTGCACAGATTTTACAAATTTGAAGAATTTTTAAAAATTCTTTTGTTTTAAAGAATTAGTCTTCAATACTTTTCAAGACATTAAAATCTTTAAAAACTATTGATGATTCAAAGTAGATAGAATAATCTACATTCAGGACTGTTAAAACTTGGGACTCAAAAATGCTTTATTTCTTTAGAGGTGTTGTATAGGTAAAGATAAGTTATGGTCTAGAATAAAAGTATTAGTAATGAGTAGTCATATGAAGCCTCTAAAAAGCAGGGTTGAGAGTTGGAGTCAATAAAAATGGATCAAGGTTATGGTTTTAAAAAGTAGTCTGTTGATTCGTATTGACAATGATGAAATGTCTTGCAAGTTGCATGCATTTAATCGATAAAAATAATGTATAAGTAGTATATTTATTGTTTATATCGTATACTGATATGTAAATAAACGAGTCAGAGTTAAATGGATCATTATAAACTGGGGATTGGAGTCTGAGTCAAAGCATTTGTATACCAACTCCACTGTCCTTCTAAGAAGGTAAGGCACCAACCTTGGTTGGTATGATCATGCATTAATGCAGTTCCATGTATATTTATCAAAACTTTGCAATATATATAAAAAATATCATCATAAAACATTTTAATTTAATACATTTAAGTTTGATTTTATATATTTTAAATAAAAAATAAAATTATATATAAACATGTGCATGAGCAAAGTTTTTCAAATGTAACCATGCAGTAAATGATAAGACATAAAGCAGTGTTTAAGATAGCTGAATAAATCTTATTGACTAAAAATAATATTCTTTTAAAATTATATCAAAGTTACAAGTACAGCTTATACATTAAAAACAATAATGAAATCACTCCATTAGAAAAAAGTAAAGGAGGACTACAAAAAGATTAAGAAAGGAATTTAGGCAGTTTCTCTTCATGTGTTTTGCAATAATAATATCAAATGTGAAGATCTGAGACTGAGAGATAACATAATGCAATAAGCATTCTGAAAAACTTATCAGTAATAGTTAAGTAATAAAAAGTTTTTGACAATCATTGTTCAAAACACAACTAACATAAAATAATTCTGTATCAGTGCTTTATAATACTAGAAAAGAAAATAGTGAAACATATGAAGAGAAACTATATATTATTTTTTTACATATGTTTTTGTACTGTACATATGCTAGTTGTGTTTTGAACAATGATAGTTAAGTAATAAAAAATTTTTGACAATTACAAGTTTTTCAGAATGCTTCTTGCATTATGTTATCTGTTAAAAAATATTATATATATATATATATATATATATATGTTACTGTAAAAGCCCATATATTGGTAAATCCTAGGTTTTACTTGTAAATCTTCAAATTTACCAACATGAGTTGGTAAATGTAAGGATTTTTATAAAGTGAGATGATTTTCCGGACTATTACCATTAGAATTTGGTACATGCTAGGTTTTACTAAAGACGATTAGTAAATGTTGATTTTGGAAATAAAACTATGAGTATTTTAATAATCATTTATTGCAACTATTATAAACTTACTAAGTCCTATTTATTAATAACTAGTGAAACAGTTTAAAAATACTTTTTTAACATAACAAAAATTAAATTATCTTGTAAAAAATAATATAATAGCCTACCTGGCTAAGCTAATCAGTAATCACAGTATTTTTTCTAATCATTTGGTATTCATTGTTCATTTAATAAAAGTAAAAAAGGATTTTACTTGTTACAACATGGAGAGCTATCATGGCATTTAGAATTATAAAGTAATCCTGATGACTTGCAAGCGCACTTCTTCGTTAGGCATTTTTTTAAGCAGTTGCACTTCTTGAAACCTTGTCCTCCGGTCAAAGACAATTTTGCGACAACTTCTCGAAGACTCACTTCTTTACCTTTAACAACTTCTTCTATCTTGATAAAGTCTTCAGGGCATGAAGTAAATTGATTTTGTGTATAAAGCTGCTTTAGTACTCCAATTTTGGTACCTAGTTGGTAAAACTCGTTGTCCTTTACATCTACTACAACTGCAATAACGCTTTTCGGGTCGGTTTTAGCTTTGTCAATTTCAGGCACTTTCAGTCTTACATTTTGGCCAATTTTCACATTTGGATATTTATCAACAGACGTGGCTTTCATTTTTTCAGCTTGTTTTTCCAAATTCAATTTTGCGTTGTTTCTTATAGTCACTACAGATTCTATCTTTTTTGGTATTGGCTCTATAGTTACAAGAACTTCCTGAGACTCAATCATGTTTTCTGTCTCTGAATCGGTATCTCTCTGAATCGTTACATTGGAATCATCGGTTATTTGCTTCGCCTTCATTTTCTCAGTAATAATCATTTCATCTTCTTGTGTTTTATCGTTGAGAGTGCTATTGTCTATATCCCCTTCTGACTCATTTTCAACAATGCTTTCTTCCTTGTCCTGTTCGATTGCATTTTCGACGTCATTATTTTGTTCCGTATTGTCATGCGAATGCAACAACTTCTCTAAATCTTCTTCAGATCTTATAACTCTAATCATATCACTAGGGATTGCTGAAGTTGCAAGGCCCATTTTCATTGGACAACCAAACATTGCTTCGTAGGGGGAACATTTGATTCCCTCGTGATATGCTCTATTTTTCATTGCCTGGATGAATCTTAAACCCTCTGACCACTTTGATAACTGATTGGTTTCCATCCACGTGCTCAACATATTTTCTATGTCTTGATTAGCACGCTCCACTGATCCTTGACTTTGGCTATGTCTTGCCTTTCCATGTACGATTTTTACATCCGGCCACATGGAGCATAAACTCTCAATAACTTGGTTAGAGAATTCTCGACCATTATCGGAATGAAGGATGCTCGGCGCTCCAAAAGTGGTGAAAATATCCAAAAGATGGTATGCAACTTCTACGGCGCGTTTAGTTTGAAGCGCACGAAGGATCACAAATTTGGTAAGATGGTCTTGGTAAACTAAAATAAATTTATAATTTCCATCTGGGGTAGTTTGTAGATCTATTAGATCAACCTGACAGCGTGAGTTCATTTCACTGTGAAGTATAGGTCTGACGACAATGCCCTTTTTCAAAGTCTTCTGTTTCTTTTGGCAAGGTTGACATAGCTTCAAATATGTCATAGTAGCCTCAACTGTTACATTTTTATACTTGCGGTTACATTCCTTAAGCATCCGTGTCCTTCCACCGTGGCCAACAGCAACATGTGTTTCTTCGAGAATATTGAATAAGTCCTCGTAACAAATGTAATACCTTATTTCTCCATCCTCCTCCTTCATAGGTGCAATTAGTTTTTCTTCGCCGCCTATAGTCAAAATGTCGTAACGCTTTATACGCCTGTAATGAACAGCTTGTTTCTTTTTCATGTTCTTTGCAGCTTTTACTTCCTCCAAACACTTTGCGTATTTGTCCCTATTAAGATAAAAGTTATTATCTTTCTTGCTTGCAACGAGCTCGTCCATTATTTCATAAAATCTCCGTTTCATACTCATCTTGATTCATAAATAACTTTTAGACAACGAAATCTCAAACAAGATTAGAATTAACGTGCGTGTTCTAACGTGTCAAACGATGAAATGTGGCGAGCGAAGGCGGTGACTATTTTTTCAACATTTACCATGTCTCTGAGGTAAAACCTAAGATATACCGAGTAAATGCTGGTAAAAGTTCAAAATTAGCGATGATCGCAGAACATTTCGGACTTTTACCACAAAGATTTGGTAAATCTTAGGTTTTACTGGAAGATCTTAGGATTTACCATAGTTCGAGCATTTACAGTAACATATATATATTTAATAATAAAGAATTCAATAAATGTGCATAAATTAGTCATAATAAAATTCTAAAAAATATTTTTTAAATATTGGAAAAATGGCTGTAACAGAAATACAAGAAAAAATAAAATTTTCTTAAACAATCTTTTACATATGTTTCACTATTATAGTATATTATTATTATTTTTAAAAAATTGTTTTTTAATTTATGATTGATTCTGGGTTAATAGCACTGTTGATTCTGTTTTTTTTACACCTGTGTTTTTACAAACATTTCAAATTATTTTACTTTTAATTTTATTTTCTTTCTTGAGATATTTATTTTCTTGTTAAGAAATTACTATTATGCTCTTTGTATTATATTACAAAATAGGCTTAACTGTTAACTGAAAAAGTATGAAAATAGTTTTAACTAGAAAAATTAGTTGTAAACTAACTGTAGATACATTGTCTATTGAATAAAGAGATGGCTTTTGAACTATAATTGAAGAATTTACTTATGAAGATGCCAATTTTTTAAATAATTAAAAAAATGTTTTAATAGATTATCCAACTTTAATTATTAATTAATAGCAATTGTACAGATACTTTTTAATACTAGATTTAAAATATAAATTAATGATCTAACCTATTCATAAAAATTTGATGATCTTATAATGTAGGAAATTTAATTTAAAAAAAAAAAAAAATTTTTCAAGAATACTCTCAAGAACAAAAGAGAGTACTGTAATTTTATTTTTATAAAATTAAAACAAAAATATTTATATCCTGTATTTATAACTTTTTCTTATTTTATATGAGAGATTGATTCCAAAAAATTGCTACATGATTTATGTAAATTTGATTTAATATATATATGTACTGTACCAAAAAGAAATTTGATATACAGTGGGTGATCGGTTAACAAACAGATCGGTTAACGAACAAATCGGATAACGAACACTTTCGCGAAAGATTTTTATGATCGGACAACGAACATATGTTCGGATAATGAACACTTCACTGAACAAATACAAGAAGCGACGTAAAATAACGAATACCGATTGGTCTTCCTTTGTCTTCAGGCAACAATTCGAAACTTTTCGGAGCGCGGGAGACGTCAACATCGACGTTCTACCCAGTATATACTGATCGGATAGTATTCCCCCGAACTTTGAAACTCTCCCTTGTAATTCCAGCCTTTTGTATTTCTGACAGAAACAATTCTTTTACGTTTTCTACTGAAAATGCGGATTTATGCCGATATCTGCTATTAAAGATCTTTTGAAGAAGTAGGAAGATGCCAGAACAACGGTCTTAAAATGGCATCCAAACCAAATTGAGGTTAATAGGCCTAGGGATCTCTACAATTACAATGCTATTAATTACTTCTGAAAAATCATGAATAAGACAGAAAAGCAATTGACATTGGATAGATTCTTTAACCCCCACAAACAGAAAAAACATGACTAATAAAAATGCAAGACCGTGTATATACGTATTTTTATTATTACATATGAATAAATGTAGTAAAAAAGTATATACTTTTTTTATTTTTGGGGGGTCTCCAGAACGAATTAATCAAATTCCCATAGAAACCTATGTTAAATCGATAATCGGTTAATGAACAATTCGGATAGCAAACAAAGTCTTGGAACGGATTATGTTCGTTAACCGATCACCCACTGTATATGTTACTGTGAAAGACCGAAATTAGAGAATGTCGATATTCTCCGGTGAATGTCGACACATACAAAATACGTCAGTGAAAGACCGAATATTTGGTTATATTATTATACATTCGAACAGTCGCCGGTGTATGTCGACAAGCACACACAAACTTTGGTGGAGGTCGAAACGACACCCGAGAAGCCAATGCCAACAAAGAGGAAACAGTCTGTTGCCAAATTCTTTGCAATTTCCTTCTGCTCAAATTGGTGATTCCATAAGAATATAAGTCCTTGATGTCAACCGTGGCCGTGCAGATGCCCGAAATGTATTGGCGGTTGTAATTAGAATAGAAAATTTTGACTTTTATAAATTAGCAAACAAAAATGGTACCCTCAAGCAGCTGTATACCCACAATCAGTTCCTGATTTGTAAAGAAAAGTTACTTTCCATAGATGAAATTTCTTAAGAAATATCGCCAAGAGAATCAGCTGCAGCAGCTAATTCAAAAAGTGGAGAGCAAGGCTATACACGCTGTCATTACAAAAAGAAATTTTCCACGAATAAATGCAATTGTAAAAGCAAGGGACTCTTGTGCAATTCAAAGTGCCATAACAGTTTAAGTTGTTGCAATAAATAAGATTTTATAACGTTAATCACATAATATACGTTATGTGATTAACGTTATAAGATTTTATAACGTTAATCACGAGTTTACTATTGCATATTGCTTTTCTTTTCTGATTAAGAATGTACTTTTTGTTTTAGGTTCAACAGTTTATTTACATGTGCTGTTACTTAAATTTTCTCCTATTTTGACATTAAAAAGTTGCATTTTTGTCTTAACGTAATAAAAATATTTATATTCAACATTCACCATCAGTGCATGCTCAATGTCGATATTTGCCGGTGTAAGTGAGAAATAATGATATTTAGCAAATATTTCGTACATACACGAAATGACTGTGTGAATGCTGACATTCACCAGAGAATGTTGACATTTTCCAGATATTGGTCATTCACAGTAACATATATTTATCAAATTTCCTTTTGGTACAGTACATAGTTTCTTTTGTAAGCTTGTTGAAATTTTATGCATATTTTACACTTGTTTGAATATTTGTTTTATTGGTAACAAAGAAAAACTAAATTATAGATCACAATTGTTTTGAAAAAAGAAATTAACTGACATTTTCATAAATCATAGTTTAAATATTTTGTCCGTTTTTTTCCGAAATTTGATTTGTTGGCAAATTACCGTTTGATGCTTGGCTGTGAATGGTTCAGTTTCTTAGAGTTAACATTAGAAAATATTATGAAATCTGAAAAATTTAAGATATATTTTCAATTCCTGTCTACCTGACCATTGAATTTGTACCATTTTCTACCATCTGAGTATCATGATAAATGTGACAATGGTAGGCTGAAATAACTAAACTTCCTATATGGTTTTCGTTTTAATGCTTGTTATATTACAGTATTTGATTTATATAACTACAAAGATTATCTTATGTAAGGGTTTATCATGCCAAGTGACCAATCTAACACATTTTAAAAATTCATTATTCCTCTACTGTATACAATTTAAAGAATTTTTAAAATGTGTTAAATTGGGCACTTAAATCAAATACTATACTATAATAAAATAGAAGAGTTAGAAGTACAAAATAATCTAATAATCTTAATCTTTGCTGGACTCATCTGCTAGTATGTATACATTTCAAGAAAACAAAATGAGATTATCTGATAATTAGGTTATTTGCTGATATTAACTGATTCGCTGATACAAAAATAGAAGTTTACAAATATGCTTTCTGTAATATGTTCCTTAACACTACAGCTATAAAAATGCATGATATTAAATTGATTTAAATAATTGCTAAATATGAATATTAATGAATGCCATTTGAATTCATTAAATATAATGATCTATAATAAACTGGATGTGTTTTATAATTCACTAGTGAATTATGAAAAACATCCAGTTTAATGTAGTTTCTCACCACACCAGGTTGTATATACTTCATCTAAACAACGATCTACAAATAACCAGTAACCGGCGTGAAATTCTTTAAAAATCGGTGAACGTTTTCAATTTCTCTCCTGGGATCTTCTTCAGGCTTATTTTTATACGTTCCTTTTAAATTTTTAAAAACATTCAAATTAAAGAATCCAGTTATAAAGGAAGGTATAAAAATAAGCCTGAAGATGATCCCAGGAGGGGAATCGAAAAATGTTCGCCGATTTTTTAAAGAATTTCATGCCGGATACTGGTTATTTGTAGATTGTTGTTTAGATGAAGTACATCCAGTTTATTATAGATTATACTAATTTCCAGTGAAATTAATAAAAAATTAATTTTTTTTTGTTAATTATTTCATTAAATGATTAAATTAAAACACACTATTAATAGTATCCTCAATAATATAATTAGGAATGTAGCCAAGTGGGGTGACAAGAGGTCATGTTTCCCACACTAATGCTCTTCCACCCCTCATTCTTTGTCAGCCACTAACCCACCCAAGTTTAAAAGTAAACAGTGTAAAAAAAAAAAAAAAAAAAACAAGAATGTCACAAGAGTTGACCATTGAATAAAACAGAAAAACAGACTTAAATATTTGGCTATATAAAGTCACACAGTTAAGAATAAAATTCAATATTTTGGCCTTTTCTGTTTTTTTTATTGAGCATAAATTACCACTGGTTTGCATATGGCTTGCATATATCATGTAAGGAGTTGCCTTACTGATATGGTACTTCTTAAACAATAATTTGTTGTTAGTAATTGTGGGCTATTGTATTTTTACAGTAATCTATCAACCTGTGCTAGGTCTACTCAGGCCATCAGCCTTGTGGGTTATCCACATTCAGAAATTTCTGGCTACATTCCAATAAAATCAAATGATTCTGTTTTCAACAGAAGTTTGTTAATATCACATGAAAATTTCTTAAAATGTTCAGTTAGAATAAAAATATTCTAAAGTGTCTAATTAAATATTTATTATATATTTTGATATATTTTTCAGCATGAATATTGCAGCAGCATATTCAACATATATATTAGTAATTTTACTATCTGCAGCATTAAGTGCAGACAGCATTTCATATAGAGATGTGCTGTTACAAGAATGGGAAGTATTCAAATTGACACATGGTAATGCAAATTTTTTTATTTTTCATATACAAATTATTATAATTATTATAAAAATCTTATACATGTGGATTTATTCCACTCTAATATCTGATATACAGTCGACCCCCCATAACACGGGTTCCTATAGTTCAGATTCCTATATCACGATGAAAAAATTGCGACAGTATTTGTACAAACATGCTAAAAAAACTCCTATAATTCTGTAAAACGTCATCGCCAACTTGTGTCGCGACAGGATTGCACAAACTGTTGAGTTTAAATGAGCAGCGGACCAATCGAAAACTATTTATTATTTAACGTCCATAAAAATTATATTTATATTAATGATGTCTTCAAAGTTCAGCGACTTTTTCGCAAAAAAAATAATTTATCAGGAAGCACATGAGCGCCATTTGATGACAATCTCCATGACGAAAACAAGCTTAAGCAACGGCATAGTCGAACGGTGCATACTCGGTAAGTAATCCTACAATTTTTTGTTTATAGCATAGTTTATATGGATTATTCCCAAAAAATTATACGTATTTTGGAAATGTTGAGTCAAATTAGTCTAGAATCGATTAATTTTATGGAAGAAACCTTTCAAACAGCCGTAGTCCGTAAACTGCATACGTGCCGGGCTGTGATTGGCTGGACTCCTAGAAGCTGGATTCATAAAAACAGGAACATATCTACCGTGTTATGGGGGGGGTCAACTGTAATTGCTTATCAATACATTATAAAGAAGTATATCATAGTTTAATAAAATTTAACTAATAAAGATTACTATTCTCCATAATTATTTTCATCTGGCATTTAAGATTAAAAATTTAACAACAAAATAAAACACAAATGACCCTTATAAATTTTATACAAAGTACATCTTGTATTTTTTAATAAATCTTTTATACCTACACAATATATATATATATATATTAAAATGGATGTGTGTGTTCCTATATTTCACTTTTCAGACAAAACTACACATCCCACATGAATGGTGTTTGTATGTGGTAGTAGCCCCAAGTCTCCATTCGTGCACTATGGTGGTTGCATCTCGATAGCTATAAGAGTGTGGGATATATGGGGTTTAAAGTGGTTGACTTTGAAGATTTTCTATTTCGATTTTAAAAATGTTTGAACTGTTTTAAATTTGAATTTAAATTGGTTCGATTATAGAACGATTGTAAACATTCCAGAAAATTGATCAAATTGAAAATAGTTCGTTTGACTGGATGTAAAAATTCTCTAATTAGTTTGGAAACGGGGGACCTAATTCTTGCATATGGAGTTGAAAGTGGTTGACTTTGAAGATGTGTAACAGTGGAAATGTCAACAATGGAAGTGTTGAGTAACAAAGGAAGTGTTAATATAAAGCAGCATGCAAGATTTACAGGCGGTTTTTTGCAGGAAATCGAACATATTTTTAGACTTATGTAAAAATTCTCTAATTAGTCTGGAAACAGGGGACCTAATTCTTGCATTCTGTGAAAACGGGTATGATTGGCTATAATGTAATTATCTTAATCTTCACTATCGTTACTTTTTGCCCAGCGAAGCGGGTCCTTGCAGCTAGATTCTAGATTACTTAGAAAAACAGTCTTTTATATATAAAAACAACTATATTACNATATAATATATATATATATATATATATATATGTTACTGTAAAAGCCCATATATTGGTAAATCCTAGGTTTTACTTGTAAATCTTCAAATTTACCAACATGAGTTGGTAAATGTAAGGATTTTTATAAAGTGAGATGATTTACCGGGCTTTTACCATTAGAATTTGGTACATGCTAGGTTTTACTAAAGATGGTTAGTAAATGTTGGTTTTGGAAATAAAACTATGATTATTTTAATAATCATTTATTGCAATTATTATAAACTTACTAAGTCCTATTTATTAATAACTAGTGAAACAGTTTAAAAATACTTTTTTAACATAACAAAAATTAAATTATCTTGTAAAAAATAATATAATAGCCTACCCGGCTAAGCTAATCAGTAATCACAGTATGTTTTCTAATCATTTGGTATTCATTGTCATTTAATAAAAGTAAAAAAAGGATTTTACTTGTTACAACATGGAGAGCTATCATGGAATTTAGAATTACAAAGTAATCCTGATGACTTGCAAGTGCACTTCTTTGTTACGCAATTTTTTAGGCAGTTGCATTTCTTGAAACCTTGTCCTCCGGTCAAAGACAATTTTGCAATAACTTCTCGAAGACTTACTTCTTTATTTTTAACAACTTCTTCTATCTTGATAAAGTCTTCAGGGCATGAGGTAAATTAATTTTGTGTATAAAGCTGCTTTAGCACTCCAATTTTGGTACCTAGTTGGTAAAACTTGTCCTTTACATCTATTACAACTGCAATAAAGCTTTTCGGGTCGGTTTTAGCTTTGTCAATTTCAGGCACTTTCAGTCTTACATTTTGGCCAATTTTCACATTTGAATATTTATCAACAGACGTGGCTTTCATTTTTTCAGCTTGTTTTTCCAAATTCAATTTTGTGTTGTTTCTTATAGTCACTACAGATTCTATCTTTTTTGGTATTGGCTCTATAGTTATTACAAGAACTTCCTGAGACTCAATCATGTTTTCTGTCTCTGAATCGTTACATTGGAATCATTGGTTATTTGCTTTGCCTTCATTTTCTCAGTAATAATCATTTCATCTTCTTGTGTTTTATCGTTGAGAGTGCTATTATCTATATCCCCTTCTGACTCATTTTCAACAATGCTTTCTTCCTTGTCCTGTTCGATTGCATTTTCGACATCATTATTTTGTTCCATATTGTCATGCGAATGCAACAACTTCTCTAAATCTTCTTCAGATCTTATAACTCTAATCATATCACTAGGGATTGCCGAAGTTGCAAGGCTTATTTTCATTGAACAGCCAAACATTGCTTCGTAGGGAGAACATTTGATTCCCTCGTGATATGCTCTATTTTTCATTGCCTGGATGAATCTTAAACCCTTTGACCACTTTGATAACTGATTGGTTTCCATCCACGTGCTCAACATATTTTCTATGTCTTGATTAGCACGCTCCACTGATCCTTGACTTTGGCTATGTCTTGCCTTTCTATGTACAATTTTTACATCCGGCCACATGGAGCATAAACTCTCAATAACTTGGTTAGAGAATTCTCGACCATTATCGGAATGAAGGATGCTCAGCGCTCCAAAAGTAATAAAAATATCCAAAAGATGGTGTGCAACTTCTACGGCGCGTTTAGTTTGAAGCGCACGAAGGATCACGTATTTGGTAAGATGGTCTTGGCAAACTAAAATAAATTTATAATTTCCATCTGGTGTAGTTTGTAGATCTATTAGATCAACCTGACAGCGTGAGTTCATTTCACTGTGAAGTATAGGTCTGACGACAATGCCCTTTTTCAAAGTCTTCTGTTTCTTTTGGCAAAGTTGACATAGCTTCAAATATGTCATAGTAGCCTCAACTGTTACATTTTTATACTTGCGGTTACATTCCTTAAACATCCGTGTCTTTCACCGTGGCCAACAGCAACATGCGTTTCTTTGAGAATGTTGAATAAGTCCTCGTAACAAATGTAATACCTTATTTCTCCATCCTCCTCCTTCATAAGCACAATTAGTTTTTCTTTGCCGCCTATAGTTGAAATTTCGTAACGCTTTATACGCCTGTAATGAACAGCTTGTTTCATTTTCTTTGCAGTTTTTACTTCCTCCAAACACTGCTTATTTGTCCCTATTAAGATAAAAGTTATCATCTTTCTTGCTTGCAATGAGCTCGTCCATTATTTCATAAAATCTCCGTTTCATACTCATCTTGATTCATAAATAACTTTTAGACAACGAAATCTCAAACAAGATTAGAATTAAAGTGTGTGTTCTGTGTCAAACAATGGAATGAGGCGGCGACACGGTGCGGAAAGCGGGGACTATTTTTTCAACATTTACCATGTCTCTGAGGTAAAACCTAAGATATACCGAGTAAATGCTGGTAAAAGTTCGAAATTAGCGATGATCGCAGAACATGTCGGACTTTTACCACAAAGATTTGGTAAATCTTAGGTTTTACTGGAAGATCTTAGGATTTACCATAGTTCGAGCATTTACAGTAACATATATATATGAAATAATAAAGAATTCAATAAATGTGCATAAATTAGTCATAATAAAATTCTAAAAAATATTTTTTAAATATTGGAAAAATGGCTGTAACAGAAATACAAGAAAAAATAAAATTTTCTTAAACAATCTTTTACATATGTTTCACTATTATAGTATATTATTATTATTTTTAAAAAATTGTTTTTTAATTTATGATTGATTCTGGGTTAATAGCACTGTTGATTCTGTTTTTTTTACACCTGTGTTTTTACAAACATTTCAAATTATTTTACTTTTAATTTTATTTTCTTTCTTGAGATATTTATTTTCTTGTTAAGAAATTACTATTATGCTCTTTGTATTATATTACAAAATAGGCTTAACTGTTAACTGAAAAAGTATGAAAATAGT